TATACCCCTAAATAATTTTTAAAAAAATTTAGAAGTAATAAATATAAATTTAAAACCATTTTTTAACTTCTGAAGGGTATATGTGAGCCATTTTGTAACGGTAGGAATATATGTGAGCCGTTTGTATAACGATAAGGGCATATATGAACCACTTTTATATAGAAAGAGGTATATTAGCTCCAAATGACAAAGTTGTCTTTTCCCTCAAACCCTAACATATTTGCTCTCTCTTTCACTATCGATTTTTGTTTCGGCAAATGTGAAATTCGAAGTTTTTTTTATGTGAATTTTGATGGATCATTACAAGTATAAAGCTGCAGATGAAGGTTACTTCACTCAACAAGCCATTCGAGGTTCTGTTATCGATTTTTTCCTCTTTTTTATTTCTCTGTTTGATGAATAAATCAAAGAGATTTTGGGGGTTTTGTTGTATTTTTCTGTTTGATGAATAATTTTATACATCGACTCAAAAAGATTATCTTTTTGCGAGTTTCATACCTCAACTATGATTTGTTTCCATTTTTTTAGCTGAACTATTAATCGACTAATTGAATGATGGTGATAGTTCATTTAGGAAAAGGGGTTAATGTATAGTTTAGATGTGTTTTAATAGATAGATAGAAAAAAAGGAATAAGGGATAGTTGAGGTGTGTTTTTAATATGTTTAGATGGTGATAATTTAAGTAGGAAGACGAAACTATTGATGGTTTGGGGTGTAAATCTCGCAAAAAAAAAGTTACTTTACCCTTCGGGGTGGACCAATGGTTTGAGTTTGGGACTTCCATGTTGGAGGTTTCAAGTTCGGAACCCAAGGGGTTTCGATCTCATCGCACCAGGCCACTCCTATGTGGTTTGCGAGTTATTGCATTTTTACTATCAAGCTGTAGGATAAAAATTGTGTTGTTCAAGCCAAGTATTGAGCTTTTGGAAACTCTCCTTGCTTTGATCACTTGCTTTATCAATCTAGTCGTAGTCTGGTTCTTGTTCTTGAAAGATCGTGAGCAAAACAGTAGTAGCGAGCATCATTTTATACATTTCAGCATTTGGACCTCTTTCTTTAGCATGTTGTTTAGCCCTTTTCGCGGATGTTATCACACCATAACATGGGGAAGGCACAGTACATGCGAAAAACAGACGATGTATGGTATCATTCTCGAAAGTGAAGAAAAATCCATCTAGGCAGGCCAATGTTGTTACAAACCAGCTTCCTTTTTGGAAATAATGTAGTTTATTGAGTGGGCGGAGGATAGTGTAAGTTAGCATTGTTTTTCTGTTAAATGGACAATTCTGTAGTGATAGAAGGGATTTTCGATTTTATTTGTGTTTTCAGTTGGCCTCTGTGAAGTGCATTAGGAGACGTTGGGGTTAATCTCGATGAGAATGTAGGCATATTGAAGTAGCAATTGTTATTGAGTAAAGAGAGATCTGAGGCGGAGCTAGAATTCTTGCTCTTTTTATTTCTCTGTTTGATGAACAATTCTGTAGTGATCGAAAGGATTTGGTTTGTGTTTCGTGTTGGCCTCTGTTAACTACATTTTTGGAGACTATTGTGGCTAATCTCATCGTTGCTCTTTACTATGTTTATCGCAACTTTCAGCTGGCTACATAGCATCGCCTGATCATAGCCAACACCAACCTGCTGATATGCGTGAGGCAATCGTAAGAGAGATTGAGAAGGAGCGTGTCAGAGAGAAGATTATTGCAGAAGAGATTGCTCGTAGACGCATGGTGGAGTCTGAAGTAAGAAGAGAGCTCGTGATGGAAAGACAACTAGCAAAGCAGAGCGGAGAAGGATTATCTCCCTGTTCTTCTTCTTCTTCACTTCCGTTCTTGAAGCAACAGAGGAAAGAATTGCATCTTCACAGATGAGAAGATTGGGTACACGGAATTAGATTTTAAGCCTTGACATAACGCCATTTGAGGAGCTTCTGTGAAGGTCGACAAGAAGATGATAGAGAATCGTTCTTGTGATTCCTACATATCGTAATATTGTAAAACTATCGCTATTTCAGGTAAATAGAAGGACTTAATTTGCTCTATCGCGTAATTTTTTCTTTATTTATCAAGTGAAATATGTAACATAGCTCATGATTTCTATCAACCAGTCAATTTTCAAAACAATAACAATAATACTGATTTCCCCATTGAAATCATTAAGGATAGATATTTTATAAATATAATTTATTTAAGAATATTTTTAAATTGAAAAATAATAATGTCTTTTTTGGTAATTAACATTTTATTAAGCCAATTGTCATTTGTTTTTAATATATTTTTAGAAATTTTGTGGTTCATGAAAATAAAAATTAAGCATGATTATGTTATTGGAATATACATTGTGTTACCTGTTAGACAAGGAGGAGTTGTTTGGATAGTAAATATCCTAACACTTTTGATTTTAAGATCGTAAATTCGAGTCATCAAAAGATGAAAAAAGTAAAAGCTCCTGGGAGGAGTACAAAATGTATGATTTTAGTTGTCTCAAAAACTCTGTTAGCGTGGAAATCGACTCTTATTAACGGATTGAAATTTTAAAAAAATAAATTAATTTCATAAATATGATGAAATAATTAATTTTGATATACATATCAATACTTGCAACTCCCTTCAACTAATGATGTTTAATGGTAATATGTATGAACCTAATGCCATTATTAATAAGATTTTATTTGATTTACATGAAGATAACAATTTGTCTTGCAAATTACATCAGTATTAGCTTATATACACCTAACAATATTCATGATGGAAATTATATGGCACAAGATAGAATTATTGTTTTTACATATAGATTTATAAATGGAGAACAAAAATACAACCATTGAAATGACGGCTATAGTTAGTTATATATAAGTAAAATAATAAATTGAATGGTTAGATAATATATTTTGAATATTCTTAATATAACAATATAATGTAATTTAATGATTTTGGGTACTTTGAAAGAGTAAAGATATACAAATTTAAAGTGTTTGTGTGTTCGAATTTCACTAATAGCAATTTTTTTTTCGCATTTTTTAAGAAGAGCATATTCATTTTAGTACTTGGACACCCTTTATCAAAAAACCTAATTCCGTCACTGGACTGGTCAATGATTCATGTATTATTAGATGCAAAGAATGTGGTATACATATTATAAAAAAAGATAATGATATTTGAGAAATAAATATCATTTACGAGGATATACAAATATAGATATCTTTTTTAAATGATATTAATATTTTATATATTTCTCGAATATAAAATGTGCAAGCTCATAATTTAACAAAATTCTCTATTTTCCGTCCACGTAGAGTTATCAAATTCTTTTGTCGAAATCCTATAATGCGATTGGACCTTACTAGCAAAAATAAATTCATTTATTCTTTTGCGTCTTTAATTCAACACATTGTTAACAATATTTTATCGATAAAAGATTTATTAATAAATCCGTATCTTTTTTATTTAAACACAAATTCATTTATTTCAAATTAGAATGTAAAAATGATGCAATGTATCTTATGAACATTTAAAACAAGACACGATATATAGGCAAGAAAGTTATTTATCGAAAAAGAAGAAGAACAAATAATTACTAATGATTTTATTCATCGAACATTAAAGAGTTGTTTGTTACAAAGATTAATAGCACAAATGTAGAGACTGATAATGCAGAAATTATATTTTATCAAGTGTTTGATGAATCTGTTCTTACATAATCTTATACGTGGTTTAAATACTAATATAATATGAATAAGACTCAAATATTCCCTTAAATCATGATTGAAATCTCAGAGATATGTCTAAACTGAACTAATATTCTATATTTTTTTTTTAATTATTGTATACACTTTTTGAATTATGTAACATACTAACCGACTTCACGTAATTTAGACACGTGGAAAATATTTGGATGTCATATAAATTAAAAGGGTGTTATAAAATTACTAAAAGAAATAAATTCGGGATAATATGACGTTAATTTAGTTATAGTATTTTCTTGAATTTGAACTTTAACGTATTATTTTTTTCTAATACTCTCTACCAAACAACCCGTTAAAGTGCAAAATCTTTCTCACATCCTACTCAGCTGACTGCTTTATAATGTGTTGTACATGAGTCAGAAAAAAGGTCTCATTTTTTCAACACAAATTCCCAAAATCACTGTTCATCACGGCCAGAAAAAACCCTACCTTTTCTGCTCTCAATCTTTCTCTATAGATGTAACGATTTGCTGTTTCGGCATTGTGAATTTCAATTTTTTTGAGTGAATTTTGATGGATTACAAGTATGAATCGGTAGGCGATCATCCGGCGCCGGCGCCGGCGCCGGTGCGGCCTCAGACGATGACGAGCTATCCACAGCATCCTCATCCTCCGATGGGTTATACACAGCTTCCGTCTCTCACTTACTTCTCTCAACAAGCCATTCGAGGTTTCTTCCTCCTCTCTGAATTTTCGCTTTTTAAATTGTTTTTTTCTTCTTGTGGATGAATGATTTGTACGAAAGAAAGGATTTTGAGTTTTGGGTTTGTCTATGTGAAGTATATCGGAAAGGTTTGTGGTTAATCTGGGTGATAACGTAGCTGATTGAGGTTGTGGAGAGTAGTTTTACCATTCTTTTTGTGTTCAATTCGACAATCTGGAATTTGGGTTTTGTGTTAGTCTATGTGAAGTATATTCAGGAACATTTGTGGTTAATCTGGGTGAGAATGTATTTGATTGACGATGTGGAAAGTACTATTAGCATTAATTTTTCTGCTCAATGGGACAATTTTGTAGTGATAGAAGGGATTTTGTGTTTAGCTTATGTGTATTACATTCAGGAGACGATGTGGTAAATCTCGATGAGGGTGTAGTTCATTGAGGGGGCGTAGAGTAGTGTTACAGTATTTTTCTGTTCATTGGACAATTTTGTATTGATGGAAGGGATTTTTGGGTTTTGTTTGTGTTAGCTTATGTAGAGTACATTCGGGAGATGTTGTTATTAATGTCGATGAAAATGTAGTTAATAGTGGAGGCAGAGAGTAGTGTTAGTATAAACTTCTGTATTGATGGAATGGATATTTGGGTTTTGTTTGTGTTGTGTGTTAGCTTATTTGGAGTACTGTCGGCGGACATTGTGGTTACTCTCTATGAGAATGTAGTTAATTGAGGAGGCGGAGAGTACTATTAACTTTAATTTTTCTGTTCAATAGGACAATCTTATAGCGATAGAAGGGATTTTGGGATTTGTTTGCAGTCTGTGTTAGCCTCTACGAAGTATATCTGGAGACGTTTTAGTTCATGTCGATGATAATATAGTTAACTAAGAATGTAGTTAATTGAGGAGGCGGAGAGTGTTGTTAAATGTTGTTGTGTGGTTTGTTATATTAAAGTGTCAATAGTGATTGAGTTAAGTGGGTGATCCTTTTTCTTTTCAGGAAAGTTTGTCAATGTGCGAGATTTGGAAAATCCTCCATTAGAAATGCAATCTTTTAATTATTTCACAAAAAAAATTTAAAATTGTGGCAATTTGGTTTTGGACGGCTAATAAGTAGAAAGAAGTATCTGGCTTGAAAGGTTACAACTTTTTGAAACAATAAGACCTTTCAAGATAATTTTAAATGTTTTTAAGTGGTCACATTGTCAAAGCAGCTGCTTTTAGATAACTGTAAAATGCTTGTTGTATCGTAAGAACAGCATTATTTCGTATCACCAAAAGATGGGAATCATTCTACTTAGAAAGTGTTTCTGAAAGTAGCTGCCTTTTTTTTTCTTCTGTAAACTTGTTTCTTTTCTACTTATTTGGAAACATTTGTTGTTTATCTGGGTGCAAATGTAGTTGATTGAGGAGTTGGAGAGTAGTGTTAGCATTGTTTTGTAGTGATAGAAGGGATTTTGGGTTTTATATGGAGTACATTTGGGAGACGTTGTGGTTAATCTTGATGAGAATGTAGTTCATTGAGGAGGCGGAGAGTAGTGTCAGCATCATTTTTCTGTTCAATGGACAATTCTGTATTGATGGAAGGAATTTTTTGGGTTTTGTTTGTGTTAGTTATTGAGGAGTATATTCGGGAGATTTTGTTGTTACATCTTGATGAGAATGTTGTTAATTGTGGAGGTAAAGTGTACTATAAGCCTTAATTTTCTGTTTCCATGGACAACTCTGTATTGATGGAATGGATTTTTGGGTTCTGTTTGTGTTTTGTGTTAGCTTATGAGGAGTACATTCGGGAGACGTTGTGGTTAATCTAGGTGAGAATGTCGTTAATTGAGGAGGTGGAGAATGGTTTTAGCATTATTATTCTGTTCAGTGGACAATGCTGTGTTGATGGAAGGGATTTTGGGTTTTATTTGTGTTTTGTGTTAGCTTATGCCGAGTACTTTCGGGAGAAGTTGTGATTGATCTTGACGAGAATGTAGTTAATTGAGGTGGAGAGTAGTGTAACCATTATTTCTGTTCAATGGACAATTCTATAGCTATGGATTTTGTTTTTTCATTGTGTTTTTTGTTAGCTTATGTGGAGTACTTTTGGGAGGCGTGGTTAATCTCTATGAGAATGTAGTTAATTGAGGAGGCGGAGAATATTATTAGCATTAATTTTTCTGCTCAATGGGACAATCCTATAGAGATAGAAGGGATTTTGGGTTTTGTTAGTGTTCTGTGTAAGCCTCTGCGAAGTACATTTGAAGACATTTTGGTTAATCTTGATGAGAATGATGGTAATTGAGGAGGCGGAGAGTAGTATTAGCATTAATTTTTCCATAGTGATAAAAGGGTTTTGGGTTTTATTTGTGTTAGCTTACATGGAGTACTTTCGGGAGACATTGTGGTTAATCTTGATGAGGATGTAGTTAATTGAGGAGGCGGGGAGTAGTGGTACTGTTTTTGTGTGGTTTGTTGTGTTGAAGTGGCAATAGTTATTGAGTAAAGAGGATGAGAGTTGGTAAAGGAGGGCCTATGATTTTTACTCGTTTTGTTTCTCTGTTTGATGAACAACTCTAGTGATAGAAGGGATTTTGGGTTTTGATTGTGTTCTTTGTTAGCCTCTGCAAGGTACATTTGGAGACATTTTGGTTAATCTCGAAGAAAATGTAGTTAATTGAGGAGGCGGAGAGTAACATTAGTGTTGTTCTGTGGTTTGTTATATTAAAGTGTCAATAGTGATTGAGTAAAGAGGGTGATCCTTATTATTTCAGAAAAGTTGGTAATGTGCGAGATTCGAAAATAAAAAAAAATGTTTGTAACTTGTTCCATTGTTAAAGCAGCTGCTTTTAGATAACTGGTAAAATGATTGTTATATCCTACGAAGAAGCATTATTTCCTATCCCAAAAGATAGGGAACACTCTATTTTGAAAGTATTTCTGAAAGCAGCTGTCTTTTTGTTCCTTCTGTAATCTTGGTTCTTCTTTACTTATTTCTAACTAGTACTTAAGTATTTTTCTTATCCTTGATGGTGTTCATTTAAGAGAAAGATTGACTTTTGATTCGTTGGATGTCCTGGAATTGTCTATGCCATTGTTAACCAAGCACAGAACTGAAGGGGATGAAATGTAGTTACTTGGAAGTGATGAATTTCTAAGTTTGGCTTTGTTGCTCCTGAGTTATATTGACTTCATGGTGCCTGCATTATTTAATTTATATTGTATTTTGAGACTAAGTTGTTGCTCTTTGCGTTGTTTATCACAAGTTTCAGCTGGCTACACGGCGCCTCAATTTGAAAACAAACCTGATCATATCCAAAACCAACCTGCCAATATGCGTGAGGCAATTTGGAGAGAGATTGAGAAGGAGAAAATTAAACAGGAGATTATAGCTGAAGAAAAAGCTCGAAGACACATGTTGGAGTTGGAAGTTAGACGAGAGCTCATGATGGAAAGAGAACTAGCAAAGCAGAGTGGAGAGGGATTGTCTCCTTTTTCTTCACCTGCAATGAGTTTCTCTCACATGCTTCCGTTCTCGAAGCAACAGAGTGTTGTAAGGTCTGTAGAGGAAAGAATTGCAAGGTCACTTGAGGATAGGATGGGAAGGGACATATCAGTCTCTAGAATGGGTGCAAGAAATGAGATTGGGAGACTTGAAATAGTACCATTTGAGGAGCGGATTCCAGAGATTCCTTTTCAGCAGCGGAGTGTGGAACCAGAAAATTCTGCTTTGAAGCCTGTACCCCACAGTTCAGTGCCGATGATTTCAGAATTGCAGCCCCCTTTGGAGCCTAGCAAAGAAAAAGACAAGATCATCTTGCTGGTCAGTATGTTCTTGTTCATACTGCATTTGTCTATTCCATTTTGCTATCCTGAACTAGATATCATACTTGCTATTTCTGGTAAATTTTTTCTTATTTTTTGTTTCTTCTCTCTCTTGGGTGAAGTGATTAGTTTCATAGTGTTGCTTTTTGTGGATTCAATTCAAAATAATTGCTAAAACCAGTCAATGCATATATCCATCTTTATGCTTTGTATTGGTTTGTATCTGCCGATTGCAGCTAATCTTAGGACTGCATTCATATACTTACGATGCAATCTCTTACATTCTTTCTCTCATTGTCTTTTTGTATTTCTGTGTGTGCATGTGTCCTTATTTTCCCTTTTTCTTGCATGCTTCTCCTTTATTGAACGGTAGAGTTTTAAGTTTTAACTGGACCCTTGGTAGCTCTCAAACATGTCAATAGCATCTAGCAAGAAGAATAAGGAAGTAGATCGACTCTATTTCACCTGATTGTGGTAAAAATATTGCACAGTACATGTCCTTGCTTATACCTGTCATTAGTGTGTACAAATGTTTCTTCTATTTTTTGCGTCAATGTGGAAGGCCAGGGTCTTTTGATAACTATCAAGGTTACTAAAGAGGAGAAGCGAGTTAGATATTGCAGTGTGATCATATGAGCTGTAGATTGATCCTGTTTTCTGTGCCTAATTAGTTAGGTTGTTTGTTTTTAGACCTTTTTGCTTATAATTGCTATTTCTTTGTCAAATGCTTATAAATGATAACAAATGGTTGGCACAAGTGTTGTGCACTTCTCTTCTAAGTTGCAGTTTTGGATTACAATTTGAATTATTAAATTGTAATTTTGAAGTATGACTTCTCCACCAGTTGTGCTTCATATCTTGAGGTGTGTCCAAATTGAGACTTTTTGCCTCGCTTGAAGTTAGTCTTAACAGTTATAATTCTACTAAATATGCCCAAATCATCCTATTGATTCAGAGGTGAGTAGAAGAATGTGTTCAGGGAGCAAATGAATGAATTTGCACATCTAATCTTTTAGTAACTAGTAACCCCTAAAAAAAACCTTTAGTAACTAAGTGTTACTATTTACCGTCTGTCATGAGATGGTTCATTCAAGATCTAAAAAATTGATTATGGACGAAGCTACACTCTTGAAGATTGTGCAATTAACACTAGGAAATAAATGACTGTTTATGGTTGAGCCAACAGTCTACTGGAAACAGCCTCTACCCCACAAAGGTAGGGGTAAAGGTATGCTGCATTGGGTACGTTGTTGTTGCTATTGTTGTAAGGCTAGTATATGATTTAGCTGTTCAGTTTTTTTTTGAGCGCCCATATGCGAATAAAGTATTGGGAAACCAATATATTAAATTAATTGACAAGCCGGTGACCTTTGTAGAAGAATGGGAGTCTGTGTATTAATGTGGATTAAATGGACCCGAGGAGAGAAATTGACAAGGAGACATTGGTAGGTAAATAACCACTCTTTCCATATAGGCTTAGCATGATTTGAGGTTTCTATTAGGTGAAGGTAGAGTTATCTGGTAATTTGATGTAAGCTTCGTGTTATGCTTGACGCTGGCTTGGTACAAATATTTAAAAAATGCAGAGTTTCCAACCATTTAAACTATACTGACATCCATTATGTGTGTAAAATCTGGCTCTCATCAGATATTTCGATTCTATGAAAATAATTATGTATAGATTTACAGTACCTTTCACCACTAATCTGATTGAATTTTGAAGCATTGTTTGTTTACGAACTTCTCGTGAGCTTTTGGTTGCAGGCTAAGCCTAGTGTCTCTGGAGCAAAACGAAAAGCTGTTACACCACCAGTGGATGTTGCCAGCCAGCCTCCGTCTTCCAGTGTTCCAAACAAAAATGGGAAAGAGGACTGGAGTTGTGCACTTTGCCAGGTAAGTGCGACTTGTGAGCGTGGTCTGAATGATCACCTCCAAGGAAAGAAACACAAGTCCAAGGAAGCTGCTTTGCGAGAACAGAGGTTCGGGAAGAACTACAGCATCGGTCTTTTCCCAAAGAAACCTAAGATTAACAACCTTTCAGAAGCCGATGGCAATGTTAACATGGAGCAAATGGTAAAACCACAAGTTGAATTGTTGCTTCAGAACAAATCAGGGGAAAGATCATCTCTAGTAATTTTGGAGAAAGAAGGTGCAGAGGACACCATCACCCCAACTCTGCATCACAATGCTGATGACTTGAAGAAAAGTGCAAATGCAGCTCCAAAAAAGCAGAAGGCTAGGAAGAAGTACAAATTTTGGTGCGCAACGTGCAAAGTAGGGGCTCTGTCAGAGGTGTCATTGGAGGCACACAGGGTAGGGAAGAAGCATAAGGCTCGTCTCCTGGTGCTCAGCAGCGCTGCTGCTTCAGCTGTCAAGGTTGAGAGCACTCAGACTGTTAATGAAGCATTAAAAGAGGTCGAAGAAACTGAAGCTGTTAAGGTTGAGAACACTCAGACTGTTAATGAAGCATTAGAAGTGGTCGAAGAAACTGAAGCTGCTAAAATTGAAAGCACTCCAACTGTTATTGAAGCATCAAAAGAGGTTGAAGAAACTGAAACTGCTAAGGCTGAGAGCACTCAAACAGTTAATGAAGCATTAGAAGATGTCGAAGAAACTGAAGTGATCGATGAGGTAGGTGCAGGTGTGCCCGACAAGCAGGAAGAAGTGTTCACCACTGGCGATAACTGAGTCCAGTTATTTTCAGGAGTATTATAGTGTTATTGATGTAGAGTTTAGGGGATGGATTGTAAGGTAAACTGTGACAACTTGTCTACCAATTGTGATGTGTATGTACTATTTTAGTACTCTAGCTCTGTTCTCACATAATTGGGTATTTTTCAGTTTATGAAATGACATATGATTGGACAAAAGATCATGGAATAGTTTTTCATTATATGTTGACATAATGCATGATGTGTGTTGCATTGGCCTTGCCTCGACATACAACAACAAACCTAAACCCAAACCCGTGTAATTCCACAGGTGGAGTCCGAGAGGGTAGCCTTGACATACAACAACAAACCTAAACCCAAACCCGTGTAATTCCACAGGTGGAATCAGAGAGGGTAGTGTGAGTTTATCTTCTTCCTACATTGTGATTGAGAAGTGCATTTTCAAGTCAAATCTTTTTTCTCATCCTTGCATGTTTCACTCAATTGCTGATATGATGCAAACTTCTTTAACAAAACTAAACCATTAACACACCCGATTTACTCCCACAAATGAAATTTCAAAGAGGATGTCGTGTTCACAAATCATACCCCTACCTTATGAAGTAGAGAGATTATTTCTGATATATCCATGTAACTTGAGAAAAAACATATCAAAACAATTCGAAAAGAGAAATAATGGAAGTAAACAAGCCATGACAAAATACTAAAAGATAGCAATCTTCAAGAACTACTGATGAATATATTTTCACATTGCCAATCAATATAGCATGTGTATCATTATCACTAGATATATCTGAGTTCTCTTTACACAAAGGCAAAATGCATACCTACATATTGAGGGGGGGAAAAACATCTAATGGTAACTTTTTTTTCCTCGAGGGTCAGTAGAGACCTCTTTGGATAAGCTACAACTACCATAGCACTCGCTCTAGATCGAAAGTTTTAAGAGGTATTTATTGAAAATTAAAGGATGGATCAAACCCTCAAAGCAACAGGATCTTGCCAAGATATTTTCCGCTTCTCAACATGAGAAGTTCCTTCTCCCACATTCCTGCATATCGATAACTTTAAGTCTCTGTGCTGATCATCATTTATGTTTTGAATTAGTCCTCTCTTTGGCTCCTCAAAGTTCAATGGTTCAAAATTTGCTTGAGGCTCCTCTTCTCCTATCTGCAAAATGAGACGCCGAAGGCAAAGTGTTAAAATGTATTACACGTCAAATGTATAAAACAATACTCTCTTCCTTTTAAACTGTGTCCCAAAAGAACGTTGCATTTTTTTATTTCAAAACTCGTTCATTTTACATCCATAGAAATGTCATAGCATTCTATATACACAAGTTCAAACTTGGGATTTGTTGTTTAGATACTTACCGAGATTTCATTCAAATCAATGACTGGAACTCGACTAGGCAATACAACATCTTTCCCAACATAATCAGTTTCCTGATTCAAATCAAAGACGGGTATGGTACTCCTCAAAACAAAACCATTCCCAGCGAATGACCTGTCATTCTGATTCAAATCAAACACTGGAGCTGCGTTTTGGAGCAGCATTTCCTTACCACTATACACTCTTGATTGGTGCTTCAAACCTGAAGAAACTGTACTACGATGAACAGCGTCTTTCCCAATCAGTAATGCCTGTTTATGATTCACAAGAATATCCGAAGGTGTCCTCTGTAATGAAGCTTCCTTTGCAACTTGAATCCTCGCTTTCTGTTTCAGCCTAGGAAGAGGGGGCAGTTTGTGTTGCTTCACCTCCTTTTTGCTATGAAATCGATCATTCATCCCATTTATACCGTATAACTCTGTGTTCAGCAGGGCTGCTCGTTCTTGCTGTTCAAGATGACCTGATGACTTCATCTGCAATAGGTATTTGTGTCTTCGGCGCAAGAAACTGCAAAGATGCGGAATGCATTTAGAGTAAGAATAAAAGAAAATTCTGCAAGCATACCAAAAACCAGTTGCATCAGAAAGAGGAGTATCCAGAATTTAACCTTTGATACTTCCCATTAAATCAATTACATTTTTCAAAACCAGGTTCAAAATTTAGTATTGGTTGACATCGAAGTAATTGAGCATGTATATCAATACTATGTGCGAATATATGGGTAAATTTCCACCTCTGGCATCTATAGATGCACATTAACAGCAATATGAATCATAGTTCAATCATCAATCTAATGTTAAAATTCTCCAGACACACGACCAATTATCCAAATGATTGCCTCAACGTGGTTACTAAGTTGACCTTAGACGATCATTTTTTAGAGCCTACACTACATAATGCAACAGACTTGCGCAAAACTCAGAAAAAAGAAAAACAAGTCGACAACAAAAACTTGCTGAAGTAAACTTACTGAACTTCAGCAAGTAATTTTTGTTTCCTCATTTTCATGTCCTCCAATTTGTTCCTCGTGTCATTAGTATCCTGTAAATAATTGTAACAAATAAGATGCATGTAAATTAACTGAATATGCACAACCACACAGTATGGTTATGATGGATTCACATACAAAAATAGGTTAAAAAGAAAGATACTTTATCAAAAGATAAAACCAGAAAACGCATCACTAATACTCACTAAACCACAATTATTATTATAACAATAAGCATCACGTGGCTTAAAGTTTCTCAATGGGCATGCAACTGACAAAGTTCTCAACTCTCTACATAAGTTCTTCAATTCATAAACATAACTAAGGAAAAAACAGGAACCAACATAAGACAACTGGTGAAAATAAGCAAATCCGGGAAAAGCCCCAATCGTTTTTTAACAACCGTGACTGAGCTAACTTACGCACACCTCAACTGATTCCATTGGGTACTAGCCACCTCCCACCAGCACAACTATCGTGTAACTCAACTAATTCCACGGGTACTTCCTACCTCCCAACAGCATAAAGTCTAAAACTCATTCACAACCATATCATCTATATAGATCTTTTCTTTCCATTGTGATCAATAACTAATACTCGCCATATCGTAAACAAATTCATTCACAAAGCTAAGGAAAACACAAGAACCAACATAAAAGAACTGAATAAATAAATCCAGGGATAGCCCTAATCATATTTTTACAATTACAGTGTCTGAGCCAACTCAGGCACACCTCAACTAATTCCACCGGTGCTACCTCCCACCAGTATAAGATCTTGTAACTACTAATTCAAGAGGTACTTGCTAACTCCCACTAGCACAAAGTCTAATACGTAATCTCAACCATATCATCTACATAGTACTATAGATCTTTTCCTTCCATTGTGCCAGATTACTATACTCACTATATTCTAAACAAAAGTCCTTCAATTCATACACAAAACTAAGGAAAACACAAGAACCAACTATTGAATAAACAAATCAAAGCTGAAAAAGGCAGGAAACACAACAAATCAAAACCAAGAACAGTTCCTCAAACAACAAAAACACCAATAGAAATCTAACTACATGAAGCTCCACCAGAGACAAATCAACAAACCGTTCTACACAAAATCCCAAAAATCACACAACAATTTCTTTTTTATCAACAATAAGCATAGATCTTCAAAACTACAGGCCAATAACAACCCCAATTTTCTATCTTTTTTACCTTATGGAGTTCCAGATAGTCCTGCAATAGAGTCTGATGCTTCAATCTAGCATTATTCTCCTCAAACACCACATAAGGTGATGATTCTAAAGCAACCCTTTTCATCTTCTTAGACATATGAATCAAATCACAGAGAAATCAAACAAACAAATGCTTAAATCACAAAAAGAACCAATCTTTGAAGCAAATAGACAAAACCAAGAAAAGGGTATGGCGGCAGAAGAAAGAAAAGAAGGAAAAGTAAGAGAAAAAGAAGCGTGTGGAAGGTGAAGACAGAACAATAATACAAACACAAATAGGTTAAGAAAGAAAAAAGAAAGGGTAATTGCGAAAGAATAGAAAAGACAGAACACAATTGGGGGGTTTGGGGTGGGGGGTGGGGGGGTTGGAGAAGAGATAAAGAGTGTATTGTGGTGAGAAAGTTCTCTGTGAAAACTCTGACCAAGACAAACCCACATAAACCGGTAAACAAGGAAAAAGGAAAAAAAATAACAAACAGTAATAGTATACAAAAACATTGTGTTTCTTGTTTGTTGTTCTTTTAAGATAGTGATGAAGATGGAGAAAAAGGGGGTGTGGA